AAAAATGGGACAATTTGAGCATCAGTAAGAATAAGTGGAAAAAACTAAAAGAAATATATTTAAACTGGTGAGTTTACGATACGTAAAAAAATAAAAAAACGTTTACTTTGAAAGATGTTAGCGAAAACCAACTCATCATTTTGAAAACTGGTAAATAATGGGAAATACTCAAACAATTCTTATTCTTCTCTTATATAAACAGAACTACCAGGTAATGAAGTATTAGATAAAGGGGAAGCTACTCTAAACAAACATTCTAGCAATAAATGAAGAAGAAAAATTTGCAAACTCTGAGTTAATGGATTTAACTGAGTATCAATAGTTCCTAATATCAGAAAAACAACAACCAACAGACATTATATATCTCCTAATGAAAGAACACACCGACCTACAAAGTTTCGACAAAAACATCAAATCTGAATCTCCTCAAACCTGTAAGAAACTCTACAAACAATACTAGTTTCTTCAACAAATAAATTGCATGGGAAAATGGGCGGGGAAAATAATAAACGAAACTAAAGCATACCTTTTAAGAATGTACACTTTGGTATTAAAATTATTTTTTAAAAAGCTAAAAAATGATTATCATATAAATACCTTTTGGGGGGAAGGAAGGGGTTATAATTGGAATGGGGCACATAAAAGGATTCTGCAGTGGCTGGCAAAGTAATATTTCTTAACATGTTGGCATTACAATACCAACCTTAACAATAATTCAACATTTTAATAATAAATCAACAAATTGCTTTTATGTGAGTTTCTCTACCTGGCTATATTTTACAATAATAGAGGTATTTTTAAAAGGCGGAGGGTTGTAACAGTGTAATATTTAAAAAGAGGTTTTTCCAACAACAGACCTTGGGCAAATTATTTAAGCCTAAATTTTCTTAACTATTAAAAATGATAACAGTATCTTATAATTCACAGAACTGCTAAAAGGATTTAAAAAGAATAACATGGAAAACACTCAGCTAAGTATGCCTGGCTCACATTAAGTGTTCAATAAATGTTTTAGCTTTTATTTCATTTAAATATTATTCTATTAAATTACTCTCAAACAAAACTTGGAAAATGAAGTAAGTTTTCTATGTACTACACTGTAGTCAGAAAATACAGCCAGTGTGATGTGCCTGGGTATTTGTGGGGTCATTCCTTTGTATTTTAATATTTAGTGGTTAATTTCTATAAATGTTTCATGTGTGCTTGAAAAGGACATTTACATCCTATTTTTTAGAGTACAGTTTAAATATATCTAAAATATCAAGTCTGTTAATTGTATGTTCAAATATTCTGTGCCTTCACTTTTGTTGGCAACGGTGGTAGTGTCTTGTTTGTCCGTTGGCTTCTGAAGGAAATGTGTTTAAACCTCCCACTCTATCTGTAGGTAGTCCCTTTATTTTTACTATGTAAATTTTTGCTTTATATACTTTGAGGTGTTATTTGGACACACGGGTTCAAGATTATTTCTTCCTGGTAAATTACTCTTTTAATCATTAAGCAATGGCTCTCTTTATGCTTAATAATGCT